GAGAGAGAGAGAGAGAGAGAGAGAGAGAGAGAGAGAGAGAGAGAGAGAGAGAGAGAGAGAGAGAGAGAGAGAGAGTGGGAAAGAGAGCTAGGCGCACCCGTTTTTTTTTGGTGGTCCTCGTTGGTCTTTGCATGGAGTCAGGTCTCGTCTCGACGGACGGGGGCGCGGGCTGTGACCCAAGCTCGGACTTCATCTCAGAACGTCGCAGCGCGCTTCCACCCTTCCCAATCGTAGATGACGATGGCATATACTACGATGCGGACGTGCGGAGCAAACTGCGGCGCTCCGATCCGATCCATCTTTATAACCCCACTCGGGCATGCCACGTAGGAGGGAATGGGTTCGTGCTGATTGAGCGGTTTTCTTCCCCTCCTTTTATCTTGCCATACACCAAACTCAGAGTGTTGCCATGGTCAGCTGTGCACGCGATGTGGTGGCCGCGGTTTAGTTCCCACTGGTGCCGCCAGGGAGACTCATGCTCGTGGAGATGGTTAGTCTTGGGGTACGAAGGGGTCGTCCGATCCCCCGAACTCTCCCGCAACGCGCGTGCGCTCCCCGCCCATTTTCAAACCTCGGTTCCATCGACTTGTCCGACCGCGGACAGCTCCGTGCCGAACCGAACGCACGGGCTCGACGAGTCACACGGCGAAGCCTGAACCCGATTTTGGGGCCTCCGAGCTCACGGGCCGCCCTACGTTTTCCCTCAACTGGCACCCCTTTTCGCCTTCCCTGTTTCACCAGTTCTACTCCACTCGCCTCATCGCCACCATCTTCCCACATACCACCACCTGCTCTCTCCGAGTCGCAACCTCCTTTCCTCTCCATATCCTCCTCTTTAGCGTGGCGTGGCGCAAATATAATAATATAGAGATCTACTGTATAATCGCGGGTACTATCCCTGCGTAGGACAATTATGAGAGCTTCTGCGCCGAGATTCCCCGCACTCTCTGCACCCTCTACCCTGGTTACCTCGCCTCAATCCCCCACCAAGACCATCGTTTCCCCTGCATCCATCGCACCATCCACTACACTCAGCTCCGCACGGGAGATCGAGAACTTCATCGCTTTCTATCGCCTCTCCCGCAAGTTCACTCTCCTCCCCCCTCCTATCATAAGATTATCCTTTCCGGACAGCTCCGTGCAAACAGTGTCGCCTCTCCCGCAAGTTCACCCTCATGTCATAAGATTATCTTTTCCCGACAATCTCTAGAATTCAGGACGGAACTCAAGTATGTCACTTGGATGACTTCCACACTCTCATTTCACGGTATTCGGCACGTGTAAGTTCCATGACGATCGCTAGTGTTCTCCCTCTCCTACGGGATCGTCGGA